TTTATTGTAAAGAAAATCAATAAAATTGATCTACATGTTATGCATTATGGATAACGGTATACCCATTCGTTTTGGATGGAATCAACTACTTAGTTATCACTTTATTATCATTATCCTAAGGTCGTCAGTCCTAAGACTGGTTGGATACGCACCTCCACTCTTTCTCATAAGAAGGGACGATTTTGCTGGAACAAGTCTCTGATTACAGAACTGAAAGCATCTCCAGACCAGTTTCAGACCAAAATTTCATAAAATTTCCTTAGGATCCAATTCAAATTCGCTGCTTTAAATTTCTAAATAGTTTATATTAGAATTTCGCCATTCATTTATTGTAAAATGTCATCATCATCATCATAAGTTCGTCAGTCCTAAGACTGGTTAGACACGCACCTCTAAACTAGAAAAATAAAATCGTTTGGGTGTTTCGTTCCCACCATCCAGTAATGCTGGTGGGCGGGCAGTCCCTCCGGACTACGCCGGAAAGTAGGGCGGAAGGCCCCCTTCAGCCTGCTTTCAGGAATCGTGAGAATGGGTTGGTGGTGATTCAGGTGAGAAAGATGAGACGGACGAAATGAAGACAGAAGAGAATGAAAGATTATCTGTGGAATATTACTGCCCCAGGATTTTCCTAAGTGATCCAAGGAAACCACAGAAAAATTTGGACCAAGACAGACGGACCCGGAATCAAACCGGCCTCCTCCTGAATGCTAGGCAATGGTCTAAGCCACTAGGCCATGCCGTTCGGTCTAAAACTACTATAGAACAACCCATATCCTTAACTATTTGCGAACAGTCTAATCTAGGTCTACCTCTACCCCTCCTAATCGTTTCTCCTTCTAACATGTCTCTGACTAGACCTTCATGCCTGAAAAGGTGTCCTACTAATCTATCTCACCTGTTTCTTATTGTCTTCCATAGAGTCTTCTGTTCTCTTACTCTTTCTAATATCTCTTCATTTCTAACCTTCTCTATCCACGGTATCCTCATCATTCGCCTATAACACCACATTTTGAACGCTTTTAGCCTTTGCTTTTCCGACGCGCCTACCGTCCGTGTTTCGCACCCTTACAGAGCCGATCTCGAAACATACATTTTTAACAATCTTTTCCGAATTTCTAAATTAGTCGTTCGCGAGCATAGAAGTGACTTCTTTGTATTTTATTTTTGTTAAAATTTCTTTTCCAGTTATTGTAAGACTTACTTTTTCTTTCACGAAATTATTGTTAAACTTTAAAAGGTAAAAGCGTTAATGGAATTAGTCGGCAAGGCTTTTATAAAAATTTCTTAATTCTAGCCCATCACTTATTCGAAAGTTCCGAAAGACTAGTTGCTATTTAAGTAGCAAACAAATTAAGAATTTGTTTTCTAATTGCGAATAATTGTAAGCAGGTTTGAAATTTTAGTTCGTACTGGAATTTTGACGACGGCAGTACAATAATTTTGTTTATATTAGTGAATTATGAGACCCCAGTAGGCTTATAAAATTTTACAATAACAGTATACAAAATATTTACAAAGCATCATTCACATTTCACTAATACTACTTTCAATCATATTTAATAACAAACAATTTGGAATCAAATGTGCTTGTTTTGTTTCTTTTATTTCGACGATTATTCAGACGAAGATGGGTTCACATTTTTTAGGTAGTTATATGCCATTAATGATAATTATGAATATATGCAGTAATAAATATATACATATCTGCATTAGGTGCATGTAAAAACATAATCATGTGTGTATCCGGCATACTATCCAATTCGTGTTTCGGTAATTTACACAATGACACGCTCTCTCCATTTGAATAAGTATTTAAATAATAATTAATAAAAGATTTATTCGAAGGCAATTTGAAGTTATTGAGGTTTTTAGCTTAGAAAATGTGACACTGGGAAAGCCTAACAAGATTATCTGGTTACAGTAGACCACAGAAAAAGTTAACTTCACTATGTTTCTTGTTTTGCGACATTGCCAAGTCAACATACCCTATATAACCTAACATAACACAAACTAACATAACCTAAATTTGATTGGGTAGGTTAGGTTTCGGCGCGTAAAAAACCTGTTGATCGGTATTGACCTTTTTAAAACAGCCGTTTCCGTTGAAAACCCCAACTCATTTATTTTCTGGCAGTTGTTATAAAGTATTAATATTTTCTATCAAATTTTTGTTAAATTTTCTGAGCCACTTTGCCAGTTATGCTTCAAAAATTGTAGTTGGTTGGCAGCAGTGTTCAACAGTAATTTCGTTTTCCCTACCAGTCTCCATATAGAATGTGCTTCTTTTTAATTGGTTGCGTTAGTTTTGAACGTTGAATTGACATCTTTTAAATTGAGTTCTAATGATTATTCTAATACTTTACCAGTGCTTAAGTCTCAAACTTCCTTCATATGTTTCCAAAGTTTTAAGAATTTGACTTTTTGCATTATTGTATACCAGTAATTTACAAAACCAAAAAAAGGAAAACTAATAGAAATATGTTTTGTAGTGTCTGTTACTGCAACCCAAACGGGACTGTACATTATAAGTTAATTATAATACATTTTAAACAATTTTTCAAATTTTCTGTCAATTGCAAACACTTTTTAAATATAAACAAACCATTATTGTACCTAATGTCTTCTAAATTAAACTTTGTTTGGAAATTTTCCAAATAAATAAATAAATAAATAAATAGGAATGTTTTAATTGTTTATGTAATTTTCTAAATTACTTCTAGATACCTGTTATTATTCACTTTTTAAAACGAATTAATTTATTGTACTTGATTGTTACTACCTTCGTTTAAAAAGTGAAATTAGTTGTACTGAAGTTAAAAATAAATGCAGTTTTAAGAATTAAAAATCTGGAAAATGTAAGGTTAACCTAGGTCAACTGCTACAAGGCTAACGTGCATATCTATGGCCTATTTTCGTTACCTTGCGTATATAATAAAATATTTTCCTAAATACTTCAACTTAATGTATGATATAATTCTCATAATCAATATCAAGTCATTAAATGAATATTCACTAATTGATTTCAGTGCCATCAAAATGGTAATTCTTGGCATCTTAGCTGTTAAAAAATTTTTAGTTAACTTTAATTTGCATGATATAAAACCGCGGCGGGGTGTCGTAAAATGACGTTTGTTTCTACGAAAGTGTGTTTTTGGCAAATATATCATAATTTGGGCTTCTTCTACACAATTTTTAATTTCAGACATCCAAAGTTTAGTTATTTACAGTAATTCAAACCAATTTTAATTTGCATGATATAAAAGTGTTACAGGTGGTGCAGGAAAGTGACATGTATTTTAAGGAAAATGTGTTTTTACGGAATCGAAGGAAATTATTCATAATTTGGATTTCCTTTAACCAATTTTCAAATTTGGACGACCGAAATTTCGCTGCATACATCGGTTCAAATCAGTCTTAATTGGCGTGAAATAAACGCGCGGCGAGGTGTCGCAGAGTGACATGTATTTTGAAGAAAATGTGTTTTTAGGGAATCCAAAGAAATAATTCCTAAAGTTTGGGCTTCCATTAATCAATTTTTCAATTTGGGTGCTCAAAATTTCGCTTCTTACATTGGTTCAAGTCAGTCTTCATTTGCGCAATATCAGCGTACGGCGGGGTGTCGTATAGGGCAAAATTTTGTTTCTGACAATGGTTAAAGCCTATTTTAATTTGCACGCTATAAAAACGTGGCAGTGTGTAGTAAAATGATGTGTGTTTTTATGAAAATGTGTTTTGAGGAAATCGAAGGAAATAATTCATAGTTTGGGCTTCCATTAATCAATTTTTAAATTTGGATGATCAAAATTTCGCTGCTTACATTGGTTCAAGTCAGTCTTCATTTGCATAATATCAGCGTACGGCGGGGTGTCGTATAGTGACATATATTTTAACGAAAATGTGTTTTTGGGGAATCCAAAGAAATAATTCCTAATTTGGGCTCTTTCTTTTACCATTTCTCCAACTTGGGTGCGCAAAATTTTGTTTTTTCAGGTGGTTTAAGCTTATCTTCCTTTGCATGTCTTAAAAACGTGGCAGTGTGTCGTAAAATGACGTGTGTTTTAAACGAAAATGTGTTTTTACGAAATCGAAGAAAATTATTCATAATTTGGGTTTCCTTTAACCAATTTTCAAATTTGGACGACCAAAATTTCGCTGCTTACATTGGTTCAAGTCAGTCTTCATTTGCGTAATATCAGCGCACGGCGGGGTGTCGTAAAGTGACATATATTTTCACGAAAATGTGTTTTTGGGGAATCCAAAGAAATAATTCCTAATTTGGGCTCTTTCTTTTACCATTTCTCCAACTTGGGTGCGCAAAATTTTATTTTTTCCAGTGGTTTAAGCCTATTTTAGTAAGTATGTTATAGAAAGGTGACAATGTGTCGTAAAGAGACGTGTGTTTTTACTAGAATGTGTTTTTATGGAATAGAAGGAAATGATTTGGGATTCCTTTAACCAATTTTCAAATTTGGGAGACAAAAATTTTGTGGTGGTTCAAGCTAATTTAAATTTGTTTGATACAGAAAAGCCACATTTGTTTTCGCTTTTCGCACTGAGAGATTCAACCAGAAGTGGATCTATTAAGGTGTTGCAAACCCTGACTCTTGGGGGGCCGCAGGTTGCATTGTATTTCAGTTGTGGAAGTTACGCGATTTCTTTGCCGATTTTGAACCTATTTTCATGATTCTTTTTTTATTACATATGCCGTACCTTAAGGGTGGTTATATTTAAACTCGAAGGAAGTATCACGCCTTTAATGGCGGTAAATTAGATAATAATTTCCAACATTAACTCTATAGTTTAAGCTGATACATGTAGGCAAAGTACTGGAGTCGGTTTTTATACGTACGTACTTTTAAATTATATTACCATTACCCAAAGGTCGTGTCAAGTTCTATCGGACTTTTATAGATAATAAGTAATGATTTTTTGTCATTGACAATTATCTTTTATTATTTTCAAAGACTCTTTTAAGCTTTTCTCAAATAATTGTGCTTAAATAATGTGTACCCAAGCGCTGTTCGGTTAGTTGTTTTGAAAAATTGTTCGGCAATAAAAAAAAATTAATGTGAGAGATGTGGTGATGGTGTTAGCGGTGTTACTGTATTCTAACAAGAATTACTTGACCTGATGCGATCGGTTTGAATCAGAAAACTATTCAGGAGACGAAGATGGATACTGAACATATAATTCCTGATGACATTAGTGAAAAGGTAACTTAGGTCTTATACTTTAACATTTTACACGTATGATTTTGCAAAAAAATTTGAAAAATCAGTAGAAATCGTTCAAGGACTAAACAAAATAACTCAGGGGTTATGACCTATACTTAATTGCACAGAAATGGTCATATGGAATTATTGAATGAACTTGTTAATGTGTCATCTTTACTACATAAAGATCCATATTGAGATCGTTACTTTTTAATTTTTATATTGAGGGTATGATTAATAATATTAAAGACTGGGCATATATACATCATCATCATAAAGTCGTCAGTCCTAAGACTCTTTCCTATCCTGAGCTAATCTTCGCATTTCCCTAAAACTAGAACAACCCACATCCATCTAGGTCTACCTGTGCTCCTCTTAACTCCTGTTTCTGCCTCTAATATGTCTCTGTTTAAACCATCATGCCTGAGAAGGTGTCATACCAATCACCCCGCGTATTTCTTATTGATTTCCATAGAGTCCTCTGTTCTCCTATTGTTTCTAACACCTCTTTATTTCTAACCTTCTCTATTGACAGTATCCTCATCATTCGTCTGTAACACCACATTTCGAATGCTTCTAACCTTTTGTTTTCCTCCGCGGCCACCGTCCATGTTTCGCACCCGTACAGCGCCGCGCTTCAGACTTACACCTTTAACAATCTTTTTCTAGTTTGTTTTAGAAAATACGACAAATGGCGCTGCAAACGCCATCTGTAGTACAGTGCTACATTTTAGGATTACGTATGCTTCTACAAGGTCCATTTAAATATATGAATATCTACTTGCTGAAAACGAATCCCGGCGTAGCTTACCTCAACGTGGTAGGCACGTTACCATAATCGAATAAAATAATTCGAAGTGGTCTGTATTCTGTTGATTTTGCCAGACACGGATCGCGATTTCGATCTTTTTGGTTCTTTCTGGACCTTGTAGAAGCATACGTAATCCTAAAATGCAGCACTGTACTACAGATGGCGTTTACAGCGCCATTTGTCGTATTTTCTAAAACGCGCTGTTAAGGCAGCAGGTAAAAGTTGGTCTGTGTTCTGTCGGAGCTGCCTGCGACGCGCTGATGAGATCCAAAAAGATCGAAATCGCGATCCGCGTCTGGCAGTTTCATATTTTATTTTTATTAGTTTTTTTTAATTAATTATTTAGGTAGACACGTCAAAATTTTGATGTCTATTAATTCTTTTGTGTAGATTTCTAAGAAAGTTGTGCCGAACGTGAATGGATTATAATTTGTGGTTTAATTGCTCATATTGTTGTCATTATCCAATAAGCTGAAATTGTTACGAGATAGAATGACGCTATACATTTTTTATTCGAGACAGAAAAAGTTTCCAAACGTGGCAGTTTATAGAATTTAATTGTACATCAAAAAAGTTCAATTGTTTATCTAGGAATATACAGGTAAGGTAGGACGTTCACAGAAGATACATATGTAGAAAATACACTCTTTTTTTTACGTACAATTTGGTGAATGTGTGAAATGTGTTTTTTTCTACAGCGTCTATCTGAACCTTCAAAATCGTTTGAACAAAGCGTAACACTCCTCAAAAGCTTTCATTAAAAAAAGATGTTAGCATTAGTGTATACTACTTGCAGGTCGAAGAGTAATTTTCCCAAGTAAACGAGGTCTATTCAAAAATATCGTAAATTTTGTGTTTTTTCAAAAATTAGTTATTTATTCATGAATATCTATTTCGTAGCGGAGCGTTGTCCTTTCATGGGCCTCTTCAGTTTAGGAAACAAGCAAAAGTCGCAGGGGGGCAAATCTGGGGAATACGGTGGCTGCGGTATTATTAGTATTGTTTTTAGCCAAAAATTCGCTCACAAGCAACGATATGTGAGCAGGGGCGTTATCATGACGCAAAAGCCAATTTTTGTTCTTCCACAAATCCGGGCGTTTTTAGCGGATTGCTTCGCACAAATTGCCCATAACTTACAGGTAATATTCCTTATTGATTGTTCTACTCTGTGGCAAGAACTCATGGTGCACCACGCCCTTACAATAGAAGAAAATTGTAAGCAAAGCCTTCATATTCGACCTAACTTGGCGCGCCTTTTTCGGTCTTGTCTCATGCGGCAGCTTCCATTGGGATGATTGAGCTTTGACATCCACGACAAAACCATAAACCCATGATTCGTCATCAGCTATGACCCTCTGGAGCAAATTTGGGTAGTGGCGGACAGAGTCCAAAAGCTCCTTAGCATTGTTAATACGATGCTGTTTTTGGTGGAAATTGAGCAATTTTGGTACGAATTTCGTGGCGACCTGTGTCATGCCCAAATCAATGGATAAAAATTGAATGGCAGGAGCTAATCGATGTGTTTAGGTCCTCAGCAATTTCTCTAACGGTGATTCAACGATTGGCTAATACTATTTTTTTCACTTCATCAATGTTTTCGTCTGTTGTTGATGTGCTCCGGTGTACGGCAGGCTCTTCATCGTTCACATCTTCTCGGCCCTCTGAGAACATTTTGTACCACCTCCCTAACCCTTTCCGTATCGAATAAAATAATTCGAAGTGGTCTGTATGTATTCTGTCGCAACTGCCAGACGCGGATCGCGATTTCGATGTTTTTGGATCTCATCAGCGCGTCGCAGGCAGCTCCGACTGAACACAGACTAACTTTTACCTGCTGTCTGAACTGCGCGTTTTAGAAAATACCACAAATGGCGCCGTAAACGCCATTTGTAGTACGATGCTACATTTTAGGATTACGTATGCTCCAACAAGGTCCATTCATCAGGTTAGCTACGCCGGGATTCATTTCAGCAAGTAGATATCCATATATTTAAATGGACCATGTTGTAGCATACGTAATCCTAAAATGTAGCATCGTACTACAGACGGTGTTTACCGTGCCATTTGTAGTATTTCCTTTCCCTATCTGTGAATTTAAATCATAAAAATTATAACCCACATCGCAACATTTAAGCGAAGTCTTGATGAGTGACGAAAACAATCGTTCGAAATGTGGAATATTATACGTACCTATATCATTAAAATTGACTTGATTTAAGGAATAAGAATAAAAAGGTAATATGTTGTTGTTATTCTATTTTCTATTTTAGTCCTTTCCGACTTATTACACCGCAATTATATAAAGTGGCCTTTTTTCCGTAGTCTTCGTTTTTTCGTTGTTTTCTTCATTTGACCAGAATTAAACAACAATAGTGAGATAAACAAAATATATATGTGCGATGCACATGACGTCCAGACATTTCAATTTTCCAAATGGTGACCAACCAGTTTTCGCGTTTGTATCGAAAATTCCCATTCGTACTTATAAACACATGAAGCCCCGATATTTGGCAGTTTGTTCTTGTATGAGCTTTCGGTATTGCGTCTGCTGATGTCACTGGTAAAGTCCGTAACCGCCGCCGTTACTACCGCCGCTTTTGTAATAATACATTTTTAATATATCTGTCGTAATGTTTGTGTTAATCGTAGTGAAATAGTGCGGTATTCTTTAGTTCGTATTAGTTCATGACATGTAGTGTTTATTCGCTGGTTTAATCGATACTTGCATAAATAGTTAGTTATATACGTATAGTGAACAAACTTTTGCATTAGTTATCAATAATTTTTCGACGGAATCGCCGCTGGTCAGGCAGTTTATTTATTTTATTTATTATATACGTATAGTGAACAAACTTTTGCATTAGTTATCAATAATTTTTCGACGGAATCGCCGCTGGTCAGGCAGTTTGCTTATTTTATTTATTTTATTTGAGTTAAATTTTGATTCTAGATATTTTTTTTGTAGCAGTAGTACCTACTAACACGTTCTATATATTTTTTAGTAGTGTAGTCTAACATGTCTCTTGCTTACCTCTTCGCTTAGCTTACTGCATATTCTTACTATAAATTGCTTTGCATTTACCCTNATATTTAACTATATACAATTTTACTAAATTAATTTTATTAAAGTACAAATTTGTCATTTAAAATCATTAGTAAATTTCTGGTAACTCGCATTTAGGCACACCAAGTCACTGATTAAGTTCATTTTCTCCTTGAATATGTATTTACTTTTTTGGTCATTATCTTTTCGTTAATGTTTTCATTTAATGTATAAAAGGTTTCCATTTTATTCTACGATAATTGGACCTTTATTTCCATTCCTGATTTATTGGGATATTCTCAGTCATCTTTTCATATAAATAAAAAAATAATATACAGTTCAATAAATACAATTTAGGGGTATTCAGTTTCCAGAGAAGCAAGTGATTATATTTTAAGATACACATGGTTGAAAAAACCCCTTTCTCATTTCGGTCTTCAGATTAGAAGACATTCTGGAACAGTATAATGGCGCTTATACCCTTTACTATAATATATGAATTACCCGACTGTTACCATTATTATTACTTTGAACTGTTCTTTTTAAACTGATGACATTAGTTTGAACAACCCCCCCTTGTGTAACCTTTGAACCACCATATACATATACATATAATACTATTTACAATTTCGATTTGCCTTTTTTTTTTATGTATCTCTCGGGAATCGAACCCAGTTCCGCTGACGCATGAACCGACCGTTTTTCATCTGAACCATTTATCAGCTCACGAAGAAATAATGCAAATAACGTTAAATTCTCAAATACGTAAGATAAAATTAAAATCCTATCTTGATCCGATTAATTATATGACAAACGTAAAGCTAATGCTGTAAACGTGACCGAAAAAAAAGAACCTTTTCAAGTAAAAACATGTCCTCTTTTTTTGCATTGCACATGCTAATTCAATGTTCCATCAATAGTTTTTCCGTTCTTGGAAGTAATTTATCTGTTATTGACGCTGGGACACCTTCGCATTAAAGTAAATAAACAATTACAGCAGCAATTATCGTAATAAGAGAGAGAGAGAGAGAGAGAGAGATAAAAGCTTTCACTCTGTCACATGAGACACTCTTTTTAAATTCTTCAGTGATCCCAGTCGACCTTTACTAACGTAATAGTGGGTAAAATATTGCGCGTTATTTGTAT